CTCTGCCTCACAGCTTAACTGTGCTTTATGTTAGCAAAGTCTTGACCATTCCTTTAGTTCAGGCCTTAGGCCTCAGACCGGGCCTCTGATGCAAGAGTTTATGTTTCAGAGCCTCATCTTACTACAATCTCATGTTTGTTTTCTGCTCCTGCTGCCTTTTCTGATGCTGAGCCTCTTTTTAAACCAAAGCACAAAGATCAGGGTTTAATTTACAGAAGGTTGCTTTTTTCTGAAATTTCAGCAAAGTTGCAGATTTAACTTGAAAAATAAAAACAGCTGCCTCTCTCCGGGTGTGCAGTTAATTTCCTTCATGCCATGCTCCACCTTTGGAAGGAGAACAAGCAATAAACATTCACCGGTCATTAAAAAGAAAAACAAAAAAACAAGCCAGACAAAGTAAATAATTCCGAAGATTTAAAAATAAATTCACACTTTCATGGAATCCGGCTTTCAAGCTTCTTTTCATCTCCTCTCTGCAGCATTTTGTTGTAATAGAGTAATGATAAAGCAACACAACAGGAGGGAGGGAACAGAACAGGTACAGAATCCATCTAGGCTAGGAACCAAAAGGAGCACAGCTGCAGAGATGGAGCCCTGTGAAGTAAACACAAAGGCCTCCTGGATTTAGAGGCGTCAGAGAAATCAAACCCTTGGTCTTCTGACAAGCCCCTTTAAATGGGAAAGTGGGAAAAAACCTTTGGTGCCTCTTTGGAGCCCCATGAAATGGGCTCTGGAGCAGTCATGTCGTGGGGGAACATGGCCGCTTTGCTGTTGCTGAGCATTTCTGACGTGGATTCATTACTATTTTGGTCCTGACTTTTTCAGCCATTTAAGAACAGCCTCTTCATTAGAATGTGATGGCATTCAAGGCTCACAACACTCACCCTGCAAACAGTGCATGTTGTGGGGCTCCCAGAAGCATGTTCTGAGAGATGTGGGCAGGAGGACGGGAATCACAGACGCACACAGGCACAATGAACACAGACTTGTACACAAGGGGAACGCAGCAGCTCAGCCCATTCCAGTTTTCTGGTAATGTTCCCTTGGAAATAACAACAGACATGCAACATAAAATACAGAATGACCCTGTGCTGAACCGATCCAGTGACCTGTGCTCCCAAAGAGTGCTGTAACATGCTTCACTGCAACCGTGCCGACAGACTGCACACTAGTACTGGGATTTGCACAAGTGACTCGTCTTGCACTTTTTTATAGACATTCCTTCAGCACACTGATTTTATTGTATTTACTGGGGAATTTTATTAACTGGCCTTGGCCTCTGACACTCAGGGAAGCCCCAAGTGCTGTGAGCTGTGATCTTAATGATTCTGTAATTTACATCTGTGCTTCAGGTCAGAAATGAACCGGTACCTCCAAGGGACACCAGGCCGGCTCAACGCGGGAATCAGTGTCTCTCTGACAAGATGTAACACCAACTTCCTGGCCATATGCAGTCATTGACGATGCCCGGGCTCTTTTGCAAGAGGGCTGTTAGCCCTGGCTTTTTGGCCTAATTCCAACAGAGGAAATTGCATTTTGCTTTCCTAGCTCCTCCTGTAGTGTTACTGCCACAAACATTTGTCCTCTGAGATCGAGCATGACGGTAACACATTAATGCAGAGTGTGTCAAACCATGAGGATTTGATTCTGCTCTTTACTCTGTGGGCAAAGCCTACATATCTTGTCAAACCAGCTCCGAGCTTACGGGGTGCTGCTTACAGCCACCTTCGCTCCCCCTTCTCCTGAGCTCAGATGCAGCCCAGGATCAGGGCCTCCGTTTCTTCAACTCCACCATATCATCCACAAAGTCCCTATCAGCTGAACCACTGCAGACAGTGACCCTGCCTGCTCTTCAGTTCATGAACCTGACGCCGCCCAGTGCCTCTTGCTGTGAAGCCAGGCACTGTGATTTGTGAATTTTAGGAAGGGGAGCGCACACTGGGCCAGCAGGGCCAGGCACCCAGATTTCTGAGCTACAAGCCTGGTTGGGGGCAGACTGTTGGGGATGAGGTCCTGGCCCATGAGGGCTCCCTGCCCTCAGCCTCTGTTGCTCAGCAGCAGGGGGTGCACTCAGCCGTTTGCTGACCACCTTGGCTGGATGGGGCTGCGGTCCTGCGTGCCTTTCTCCCTGCAGAGGCTCTGTCTGGGAAAGGAGGCAGGTGGCAGCCTGGCCACTGGGGCTAATGCTGGGAAAGGGCCACTCCGTGGCTGAGCAAAGGCTGTGCTGCCAGCGAGGATCCCAGAGGCAGAGCCCAGCTGAGGGAGCCTTGCGCTGCGGGAGTGGGGTTTGCGCAATGGTGCACAGCCATGTTCAGAGAGTGGGGGCGAGGGTTGAAGAGGGATGCGGCAGGACACCCCAGAGTCCAGATAGGGCAGCAGCACTGTCCTGGAGGGGGGTGAGGACAATGGGGCTTTGGTCCAAGGGCTTTGGGGTACATATGGCAACCACCTTTGCTGCTGTGCTGAGGGGATGGGACCAGCACTGTCTATTTGCAGCGGGTTTCTGTCTGCTTCAGTGGCAGCTGCTCCCTTGCCCTGGAGGAGGGACCGGAGCTTCCAAGAGCCAAAGAGAGCAACGAGCTAATGAAATTCCATCAATCTGAGCAGCAGAATGGAAACAGATAATGTGTTTTAACCCACCTTTATCTCGTCAGCCCTGGCTATAACATTGCCACAAGAATCCCACAGTGGCATAGAGCTGTGAGGGCAGTGGGCAGGATTCTGTAAGCCCCACTGATTACAGCCACAGCTCATCACTGCAAATGTTTGGAGGAAAGAACTCTTGTTATTTCTGTCTAAACACATGCGCATAACAAAATGTGCAAGAGAGAGCGAGAGAGACGCTAACAGGATACAGATGCTGGAAAGCAAAGCATGGAAGCAGCTTACATTGTAGCCTAATTGGCATCCCTTCAACAGAGTCTTGTGGACCTGGCCCGAAGCAGAGAGAAATACAAAGGGCTCTGTTTGCAGGAGGCTTGGAAGCCACAGACAGTATTTCACGCAGGAAACACAATACTCCTAATTGCTAGAAAGCGATGCTCTGACACTGGGATCAGGCTGCAGCCTGTGGATGTGCATTCTGTAGGTCCCTGCTAGGGAGCGGGAATTGCTGTATAGATGGATTAGTGAAGCTGAGGATATCTGAGTGCATCTGAGATGAAGGGACTTTTTCTAGTGGGTGGGGGTTGCCCCCATGGCTCTGCTGATATTTACAGGTACCTGTGCCCTGGGGCGGGGGGCAAAGCATACCATTTATCCCAGCCTCCCCCCCCCAGCCCCATTTCATTATTCTAAATCTATTATTGTGCCAAGCATGTTTATCAGACACCGAAGGGGCTTGCAGAATGGAATAGCTCCCACAACTTCCAGCCCGCTGGATCTGAATATCCGATTGGCTGAGTCTAACGATGCCCCTCCCAGCTCTGCACCCCAGTATGTGTCTGATCATCACAGAGCCAGGGGATAAGACCCCATCCAAGCACACGTAGCTGGGAACTAAACACAGATGCTGGTTCAGATTTCACAGCCAGTGCAGATCCAGACACCTCCAACCCTGGAGTTTTCAAAGCCATGGCTGAGATTTGGTTGGGGACTGTCTCTAACCTAAACCAGGCTCCCCAGGTCCCTCTCCCCCACGCCCCACCCCAGCATTCCAATGCCATCCCAGACAGCAGCTCTCTCCTCCACTCCCTCCATCATGCCAGCCAGGCCCTGCAGTGCTCCCCTCTCCCCATCAGGTACTCCTGACCAACACCCTCCCAGAGCCAGCCCTTCACAGCCTGCTGAAAACAGAAACCTGTGTCAGCCATTGCTATGGAGGGGAGCTCAGGGGTTGCACTGCACTCTGGGATGGTCTGACATGGGCTCTTTCTGACCCCTTGTCTCCCCTCTGGCAGTCCCCAGCCCCTGGATGCTCCACAGGACAGTCTGGGCCCTGCTGCAAAGAGGCACGGAGAGATAACAGGGCAGGCTAAGGACTTTGTGTAGGAGAAATGGGACCTGGTTTCTGGGGGCAGTGCAGCAGACCTGGACTCTTTGGGAGTCCCTCTCCAAGCGTCTCTGTCTGGTCTGCTCTAGTGAAAGGAATATGGGGCTTCTTCTCCTGTCTAGGACCAAGGGCTCACCTGCAAAGAGGCAATTTGTGTAATAAACACTGGTGCTTCAGCCCTTAAGGGTACATCGACCCTGCAATAAAAGACCCGTGACTGGCCCGGGTCAGCTGACTCCAGCTCGTGGGGCTCATTTCCGTATAGACATTTGGAGCTTCGGCTTTGAGACCCCAAGAAGGGGCAGGTCTTGGAGCCCAGGCTCAGGCCGTGCCTGAACGTCCCCACTGCAATTGTACAGCGCCGCAGCCCAAGCCGCTGAGCCCGAGTCAGCTGACCCGAGCTCTGGGACTTGGTGCTGCAGGTGTTTGGTCGCAATTGGGTGTCAGTGCCGCTGCTCTCTGGGACAAACACCTCATTCCTCTCAGGGTCAGGGGGCAGCAAACTCAATCCCTCTGTTCAACTTGAATCGATTATTTTTATTTTCATGTAACCCTTCTGCCCGTCTGAGTTGGCAGCAACAAGGGTCGGGTTCAGTATCTAGGGGTTCCGTTTCAATAACACAATGCAAAACCGGCTCGAGCCCCCACCCAGTGACCTGGGACAATTACATACCACTCCCCGGGCGCCTCTAAGAGGCAACACTTCCCCTCTCGCAAGCATGGAGTCTGAGTGTAGCAAAATCCTTTTAATATAATAAAGGAGGGAAACAATGTGGCATTATGTTGGGGAAACACCACAAACAGGATTCATAACACAGACCATGAGCAGAAGACCCACCCCACAAGTAAGTTTGGCAGTGTCCTTTTCCCCTCAGGGTCTTAAGTCCAGCAACCCCCAAAAAATCACCCAAAGTCCCAAAAGTCCAACACCCCAAAAATCACCCAAAAGTCCAACAACCCAAAGTCTCTGTCCCTGGTCGGTGCAGCCCCAGAGTTCAAAAGTTTATCTGCAGAGTTTTACCTCCCAGCCTGGGTGAAAATGCCCCCCGCAGGGGTATTAAGGGGCACCTTACGTGGTCCAAGGCCGACTGCTCCGCCTCTCCATGGGGTTCTGCTGCAGCCTTCACCGTGAGCCACTCCGCCAGCCACTCCTCTCCACCAGCCATCCCATGAGCCGCTCTAGCCAGCGGCTCTGCTCCACCAGCCGTCCCGCCAACTGCGTTGCTCCACCAGCTGCTCTGCTCCACCAGCCGTCCTGTGAGCCACTCCAGCCGTCCCGCCAACTGCATTGCTCCACCAGCTGCTCTGCTCCACCAGCCGTCCTGTGAGCCACTCCAGCTGTCCCTCCAACTGCACCGCTCCGCCAGCTGCTCAGCCATATATCTTCAGGCCCCCCCACTTAACACAGCACTCAGTGATTTCAGCTTGTAGTAGGGGGAGCCCCAGTGCTAGTGCACCATCGGTCCAAGGTGAATTCAGCTCAGCAGCCTGTAACTAGACTCCAAATAAAATCAAGATTAGCTCTGATATTCCACAGTGGAGGAGGGGAGGAAAGAGGGGGGGGAACAAGGAGGTGCAATTGGTGTTTCAGACCCTTAAAAGAGGTCCATGCCATTAGGTACAAATACCTATCCCCAGCCTCTCTCAATTCACTGAGTTTTGGAACCCATGGCCCTTGTCTAGCAAGTACTACTTAGTTGATGGCAAGTCCCTCCATCATAAAATGCCAAGTACAGTTCTACTGCCCTTGATTCACATAATCAGGGTAACAACACTTTATTCTTCCTGCCCCAATAACAGAGAAACTGGGGATCCCACAGCAGTCAAAGTGACCATTTGGGCTGCCGTGGGCTCAGGCTAGGCAGGGTGGGTGTGCCTATGCAAACAAGATCAGCCCCTGAAGTTCTTTCCACAACTCACCACAATTCACCACCAGTTGTCAGGGTAGAGCTCGTCCTGACTCTGCTTACATCCATGAAAACTGATTTGTGAGTAGTTCTTTCCCTGTTTAAATTTGGGGAAATATTGTTCAAGGACTTGCTGATGTTTCTCTAACTGAGAGCTTTATTGGGCAATAGCCACTGACACTGTGTGCTCAAGACAGTCAGACCCTTTTATACTACATGTGTTCCCATAAAAATGATTGGCTTTGAGTTGTTATTCTAATCTTGCTGGGATTGTAACACGGGGGCAGCCAGACTGAACAGGAGCTGTGTAGCGAAGGCACACACCAATTCCATCAAGTTCTCAGGCGCACGCGGGCGTTCAGTCAGATACCACCTGCTGCAGGAAATGGACCCAAAATGGCGGAAGAAAGTGCTGTCTCCTCGGGTGAGGCTGACTGCAGCCTCATTTACCTATTGTTTTCTGCACGCAGTTTCCGGGGTTGGTTTTGAGCTACAAAGCCCTCAATGACCTGAGACCTGCCTATCAGAGAGACACCTCTCTGCCCGCAAGAGACTGCCGCAGGTGCAGGCAGTGCAAAGCGGCCAAGCTGGCACCCCTTCAGCCAGAGACGGGGGGGGGCTGACAAGGGCTTTGACTCCAGGCCTTTGGGACTAGCTTCCTCCCAGGCCTGAAACAGACAGATTGTCCACCTGCAGGGGGCATTGCAAGCCCATCCTTCCCCCTTGCCCTGACAAGGGGGTGCTGGCTGGGAGGAGGACATAGAGATGCTGATTAGCGCTTTTCTTGGGTATGTTGTCACTGGGTGACTTGATTTGCTCGGGTAACTGGTGAGTCTGTTTGTTTATCAGTGCATTTTTAAAGGACTCTCCATGGTGTTCACCTTACTGGATGGGCGTTCGGTGCTGCAGTCCGTAAAACTCCAAATAAATATATAAACTACCCCTCCCACCTGCAGAGCCCCAAGAAAGGAACACAGCTTCCCCATCCGTACTAAGGTTGCTTTAATGCCAGAAGGGAAAGGGTGCAGTGGTTGTTAATTCGTTAATCAGTGCCAGGGTCCCACTATCATTTCTCAATCAGAACTGGAATGTCACACAATTTATAGTTTTCATTGTTTAGATCTCGTTACATTTTTCAAAATATCCTGCAATCCAAAGTTACACAGCTTCCGTGTTGTGCCTGGTGCCAGCTGACTGACTTTGATACTGGGAAGCGAAGGTAACAAGGAAGCCAGTGATTATTTTGAAAGGGATGAACAGATGGTCCACATATTAAGGAAATATTATGCTAAGTGTCATTCCAGTGACTTATAGGAGCTTCACTTTCATTTGATTAGGAGTAGCTGTTCTAACAAGGTCATTTAGGCTTTAACGTGATTAGCTGTGCCACTACCACAAAACAGGAATAAAGCACAATTACTGTGTCACAACATCTCCTGGTTCAGGCTTCCCTGGAACACTAACTGAGCCCCGTTCATACCCAGGATGGGTGTCTGCAGAACTGCAAGCGTTTGACGCCAGGCTATCAAAGCTGGGGGTCGGGGGGAGGCAAGAATCTGTGGAACTCTGGGAATCTAGGTAAGAAACGAGGGGGATTCAGTCAAAACGCCAGCATATTACCCTTCCCAAAGGCAGCAGGGTGGCTGGAGAACCCAAGAGGTTCTTTCTCCAACCCATTATCTAGGAAAAACAGCTCCATGGATTAAACTGGTTTCGCTGCATTGGACCCTGCTTTCACTGGAGCTACGCCAGGGAGGAATTTGGTCCCAGAATTATTTTTTTTAAATCTCACCTAGCTCACAACTGCTGTTCTGGGTTTCAAGTGGTCCTGATAAAGGGACTGGGTGGCTCCGGGAATTGCTGCAAGGACACAGAGCCACTATCATTATTTCTGTGGCACCAGCGGCTCTGTCCATGGGAACCTGAGCCATCATTCACTGAGTGGTTTCTTACAGGCACTGTGGTCAGCAGGTCGTCACCTGAAATCCAGCCTTGGTTAGCAGTGACCCAAAGCTCTGACCCTTCACTGGCAGCTCAGAGCCTGTGTGAAACAAGATGCATTTCCCAGTGCACAGGAACCCTCAGCAGAAAAGCTCTCTTCACAGCCGCTGGTGGCGGTCTCAGCACAGAGGGAAAAATTCAAAGGGCTGCTGAAGCTGAATTCTCTTCTTATCCCTACCAGTGGGGTCTCCGGAGAGCAGCCTGCAGGAGACACTTGTGCTGCCACGATATGTCCCCTTCCCTGTTCCACAGCTAGCCGGGGTCCTCAGGCTGGTCCACCCGGTGCCTTTCACTAGGAGAATATTCAGTTTCTAGAGCTGGGTGAGATGAAACCCCAATCTCTGTTGCAGTGGCAGAAGTATGTCCGCAAGACACAGATTTCACCTGCCAGAGGCTGGGAATGGGCGACAGGGGATGGATCACTTGATGATTCCCTGTTCTGTTCATTCCCTCTGGGGTACCTGGCATTGGCCACTGTTGGCAAACAGGATACTGGCCTAGATAGACCCAGTATGGCCGTTCTTATGAGCAGTTTGATACATCAATTATTTAGAGGAGGAACCATGGAAACAAACCATTTTCAAATGAAAAGAATTCTTATTGCCACGCAAACAGGACCAAATATATTGACTACAGCTGTAATTTGCTACCACTGTCTACACGTCCCTATTGCCTAGACACCCAGCTGTGCTGCCCATCCGTAGCCCTCATGCCTAGTGAGCTCTCTTCCTTGCCACAACTGGCAGTGGTGGGACTTCACAATAGGAGTCAAATCCTTAGCCCACTCAGCCCGCAAACGATGGCTGGACTGCCATGAGTTCTGTGCCAAGTGGCCAGTGTGACAGGCAGACTAATCGCCTGTGACGAATCTGCTGTTACTCAAAGATGAGCTACAGAGCCACTGAACCCCAGAGTGCTCTTCTCTCCTCTCCTGCTGTGTCACGGGGCACGGCAGGGCAGCTGCTGCAGTTGCCTCTGAACTGCCCATCCTTGGATCCTCACTGCCGGCAATGGCTTTGCTCCTATGTCAGCACTATCTGTCCTTAAGTGGGAAGCTGACAGGACCTAAATTCTGTTGTTTTCAAAACCTCATAAGAGAATGAAGAAATAAAAAACTTTCACAAGTATTTAACTAGCTAGAAATGTTTGCAGGAAAGTGGTTTTAAAAGTCTACATCATTTTCAAATATTTGAACAATAAGTTTTCATATAAACAGCTGTGCCAAGAAACCCCACTCAGAATTCACCCTCGCATCACTACAAAGCATGTCAAATCTGAATCAAACAGCTTAGCCACCTGTTTCCACTTTGCAGGCAACCAATCATTGTCTTCAAAGTAACAAAGCTATTTTCAATTTGAAAGCAAGAAATCAAAGTTTAATTGTTTCGTCCTTCAAAGTCTTCCGCTATCTTTCACTGAGGCTTTTTCAGATATGAACAACTATCATTGGCTACCTTAAAAAGGGAAGAATTGATTGACAGTTGACGAAAACACTTCTAAGGACAATAGTATTTGTCAGCCTGATGCTTTCCACTCTGAAGACAAAATGCATTTTATCAACACCCTGAAATTATTTTGTCAACAAAATTCACTTTATGGCAATACCTTAATCTGTCACGTTGATAGAAGAACAATCTTCAGAGCATTTCCAAACCATTTTGCCAACACAATTAATTTCTATAAAATTAAATGTTCACTTTTTAATCAGATGTCCAGGAAGATACTGTAGCATATACCAAACAGGGCATGAACTGAAGCACCACTAACTGACTAGCAGCATCAACGGGATCTTGTGAACAAAATCCACACCAATCAGATATTACACCAGACTGATACAAACGGCATGTGAAACAGATGCAGCAATTATTTGTTGGCAAAAACCTTTCTTTAGTAAATCATGAATGTACTAATTATTCAGTCTTGCTAACTAAAAACATAGTTTGAAGAGTCTGAGGTAGATTACTACTCAGCAATTTGCGGAATGTGCATGGTTGTGTACACACACAAACTAGTGTACCATTTTCCTATACTGAATGGAATCTGCCAGATGCCTATATCAATTCACCTTATTGGCTTGATAGCGAAGATGAACCTTTATTTAACACGCAGGGCATTGTGTTTTAGAGGAGAAGGATATTAATTATATTCTCATATATTATAGAATCACAGAAATGCAGGGCTGGAAAGGACCTCGAGAAGGCACCAAGCCCAGCCCTATGTGCTGTGGCAGGACCAAGTAAACCGAGACCGTCCCTGACAGGTATTTGTCCAACTTATTTTTAAAAGCTTCCAATGATGGGGACTCCGTGACCTCCCTTGGAAGCCTGTTCCAGAGCTTAGCTACCTTTAGAGTTAGAAAGTTTTTCCTAATATCTAACCTAACTCCCCCTGGCTGCAGATTAAGCCCATTACTTCTTGTCCCACCTTCAGTGGAAGGGAGAGCAATTGGTCACCCTCCTCTTTATAACAGCCCCTAACAGATTGGAAGACTGAAACAATGTCACCCCTTAATCTTCTTTTCTCAAGACTAAACATGCTCAGTTTTTTTAATCTTTCCTCACAGGTCAGGTTTTTTAAATCTTTTATCATTTTTATTGCTCTCCTCTGGAGTCTCTCCAATCTGTCCACATCTTTCCCCAAGTGTGATTCCCAGAACTGGACACAGGACTCCAGCTAGGGCCTCACCAGTGCTGAGTAGAGCAGGACAATTGCCTCCTGTGTCTTACATAAAACACTCTTGTTAATACACCCCAAAATCACATTCGCCTTTTTTGCAACTGTGTCACACTGACGACGCATATTCAGTGTGTGATCCACTAGAACCTCCGAATCCTTTTCAGCAGTACCACCACCTAGCCAGTTATTCCCCATTACGTAGCTGTAAATTTGATTTTTCCTTCCTAAGTGAAGTACTTTGCATTTGTCTTTATTGAATTTCGTGTTGAATTCATGTACCTGTATACAGTTAGCTAATAAGTGTGTTGCCCATGTGTTGTAGATGTGATTTTTTACACAAGTATACATAATGCAATGCCCCATTTGGCCATGATCTCATAAGATAAGATAAGAGTCCGACCTACTAGGTTCTTGGATAGGAAACTTCCAGGGAAACCTGAGGCTGGAAGAGAATGAAGCAGGGTCCTGCAGATAAAACAATCTGTGCTGACAAGGCTGTGTGGCAATGCACATGTACCAAGAGACAGAGTTAAAGTCACAGATGGGCAACTTCAGACTTTTGGGTGCCTCACTACACAGACTTTAACGTTCGTTGAATGTGGTTGTTTGGAAGTTTTTTGGTTTTGTTTTTTGTTATTGGTATGGAATGTCTAGTGATAATTTTCTTTTAAATGATAAAATGGTAAAATGGTTTTGCTTTTTGCCTTTTTAAAGTATTATTTCCAACTCTCCTTCTTGTCAAAAATGGCTGCACTGTTTTTGCTCAAACTTTCCCAAAACATTTGCACCCAGGGAACAAACATGGAAAATTTCAGTCTAAAAGGCAAAAGACTGACTAAATTTAAAACAACTGAAAAAAAACCATCCAAATGAAAACATTTGTGCAACCTGAAGTATAGGCATCGCTACCCACTCCGCTGTAACGACAATGTTCATACCTTCCATCCAAGGGTCTCCGACTGCTTTCAAACTTGAGTTCAGGCGTGTAACACACAATACTTCCCGATATCATCCATTATCCCCATTTTACAGCTGTGGGGAGAGAAGCACAGAGAGGTCAAGTGACTTTCCTGAGATCTCATAATAACAAAGAAGTCAGTGGCACAACCAGGAATAGACGCAAGACCTCCTGCCTCTCACAACTATAGCAATATCAGTCATTAACATGTTCACAGAATTACAAAATCATTAGGTCAGCGCTACCTCATTCATTGGTACCACACAAGATTATCCCTAGGTTTGTAATGACAAAGTTACGCCCTTCTTCAGTGGTGACACGTTGCATTTTCTGGGGGCACTGAAGGGGTTAAAGGAAAAAAGCATTTGTGAGGCTTGAGGAGGATAGAAGGCAAATGAAGTAAGTTTCCCAAGTGCTGTCTAAATATGGGGCACTCTCAGAATGGCAGCTGCTGAAATGGCTCTAGCTATTCCCTTCACTTCTCCATTCAGAAGCAAACACACACACGTTCACATATATGAATATAAGAGTCGACCTACAAAGTCAGGCACATGGAAATTTATTCTGTTCTCTTAGAAATGCTGATAAACGCTATTCTCCGAAGCCAAATGCTCCATCAAAGTCTCTCTTTAACCTTGTTTCTTTATCTTTTAACAGTTTCTTTGATAAGCCTCAGTAGCCACACGAAGGCTGGAAGTTTTTGCCTCATTCCTTTTCCTGGGGCTTCCAGAACTTGTCAAGGGTCCTGCTCATTTCTAAATGTTTATAGAGATTGAAGCAGGGACAGGACAATAAGGACCAGTCAGAAGATCTGTCCAGCTTTCAAACCCAACATAAAACTTCCTGGAGTGTGAAAACCTCCAGACAGCTTCTCCCCGGTAATTTTCCATAGTGATGGGCTGAACTTCAGAGCTTGAATCCAGCCTGCAGGGGAAATGGGCTCACCTCATCTCCAGCTCACTGCGCATTCTGCTCACATTGGAGACTAACGTGCTGGAAGACCTTGAAGGAACGATCCTGGGATTTCTGCCATGACTGAAGTCAGGAAGTCCCAGGACTCTCAAGGGAAAACTTGTTCCAGTGAGATTTTCATCAAGATTTTGCAGACCTAGGAAGTTTGAATAAACCTATTCTGCACGGCTGTGTTCAGTGCTAGCACAGTCCCCACTGAACTCTATGGAGTTGCACCCACATACAGCAGGGTGGAATTTGCAGGCAACTAGAAACACACCTTCTCAAGGATGATTCCCCACGTACAGTTACATTTCGAGACCTATCCGTTAGCCAACTTTTCATCCACTGAAGGTTTGCCATGTTCGTTTTATATTGTTCTGGTTTGTTATGTCCAACGCATTACACAAATCTATGACATCAACCCTGTTACCTTTATCAAACAAACTTGTAATCTCGTTAAAAAAAGATATCAAGTTAGCTTGACAGGATCTATTTTCCATAAACTCCTGTTGATTGGCATTAATTATATTGCCCTCCTTTTATTCTTTATTAACCAAATCCCGGGTCGGCTGATCCATTATTTTGCCCAAGATCAATGTCAGGCTGACAGGAATGCAGTATAGAACTGGCTGAACATATATGCCACACTGCTACTTTTGCTGACCTCTCCCCTACTGCTCTGAGCTGGGCCGAGCTCTCCCGTGCCGATCCGGGCTGAGCCAAGCCGGGCTCTCCCCTGTATCTCCAGTAGCCAGGACGGGAGAGTGCGGGCAGGGCCATGAGGAGGCCGATGCACTCTGTACTGCTGAGCGTGTTTAGCTCTAATGCGTATAATGGAATGTTTCTTCTATCTAAGCAATGGAGCATTAATCCCAAAGAACTCTTTGTTCCTTACTAGGAACATGTCTCTTGTGGGTGTGAAAGTGACTTGAAAGAACAATAATGTCAGTAGAAATGACCTGTGCAAATATTAATTATTAACTATGTTAGCTTGGCGCTGCCATAATGAAATATCACATTCTTCAAAGAAACAAATCCCACTAAAAAGACCCCAGATGAAAAGCACAGTAGCTACTATGACGTAGTGAGAATTAGGATGAATTAGGGAACACAGTATTGATTCGCCTTGCCTGCAATGGCTGTTTTCTATTTAGAAGTATGGAAAACAAAATGAAGAATAAATGAGGCTGTATCAAAAAAGACTGGGGGGGGGGGAATGATATTTAAGCACGTAGGCCACAAATACAAGAACTTGTGCATCTTCTGGTGATGGGATGGGATGAGAAGGCAGGGCAGCTGGGGGTGGGGGAAGGCTCCAGGCTGAGCAGCGAGGGGGTGGTGGTGCTGGGCGGCAGGCCGGGCAGCATGAGGCAGGGCTGGGGCCGTGAAGTGGAGACCAGCTGAATCCGATAGGGAGGGGATGGGGATGGGGATAGGGATGGGCTGTGGGATGAACAGTCACCTGGTGACCCCTAGGTCTTGTGTTATGAGGAGTAAATAGCACTTCCTTATTTACTTTCTCCACACCAGTCATGATTTTATAGACCTCTAACATATCCCCCCTTTAGTCGTCTCTTTTCCAAGATAAGTAGTCCCAATCTTATTAATCTCTCCTCATATGGAAGCCATTCCATACCCCTAATCATTTTTGTTGCCCTCTTCTGACCCTTTTCCAATTCCAATATATCTTTTTTGAGATGGGGTGACCACATCTGCATGGAGTATTCGAGGTGTGGGCGTACCGTAGATTTATATAGAGGCAATATGATATTTTCTGTCTTATTATCTATCCCTCTCTTAATTATTCCCAGCATTCTGTTCGCTTTTTTGACTGCTGCTGCACATTGAGTGGATGTTTTCAGAGAACTATCCACAATGACTCCAAGATCTCTCTCGAGTGGCAACAGGTAATTTAGACTTCATCATTTTATATGCATAGTTGTGTCACAACCCAATGGCCCCCTCCCTCAGGTCCCGTTGGAAGGCAGATCAGCACTGCATGTTGCTAATGCTGTTGCAAGCATAGCAAAGCATGTTGGGGAGGGTCAAAGGTGTGAGTGTGGAGTGGAAGATTCCTTTGCAGGTTACGAGAGGCTGAAAGGGAGAGGGGGAAGAAGGAAGAGAGCAGAGAACGGGTTAACTCGACACTTCGGCTAGCTCAGTCCGAAGATAAGACGCTGACTCCAGCCAGCTCAAGGCCACAGCACATATCTGACTCTCGACTGCCTGCCAAGAAAGACGGTGGCCTGGATTCCACCCCGACCAGCCGTGAGAAAGGAGGATTCAGCTGAAGAGACTTGCAGAGGCAGCCAAAACGAGAGAGACGATGAAGGCCAGAGAGGGGAAAAACAGACTCTCGCATCCCTGGAGCCGGTGTGTTTTGGGAACGCTGAGGAGGCCACAGAAAGCCGGTTTGGACTGGTACAAAGAGCACCAGGAACAGAGGTCCCTGAACGAAACGCCCCCTAAAAAACCCGGGACTTAAAAACCCTCCTGAAAGCCAGAGCAAGTTGGAGATCACAGTGGACCCTGGATGACCCATGCACGAGACAAGAACTCCTGTCAACCCCTCCCCCTCTTCTTCTTAGGTTACACCCAGGCTTGGCCAGCCTCGGGTCGTGCGTATATGAGTATGAAAGTGGGTTAGGGCTGAGGTACTAACGCTTTCTTGCTTCCTTTGAGTGACGTGGGAGCAGTCCCAACACTCACTGCTGTTATTTTATTATTTTATTAATAAAGCTTTAAAATTCAGACACTTGGTGTGCTCTTCATCTCCTCCCCTAAAGATCCTGCAGCCTCAGCCTGATCATCTGATGCCCCAGGCAGATTGGTAACATAAATATGTCACAGTTGGAATTATGTTTTCCAATGTGCATTACTTTGCATTTATCAACATTGAATTTCAATCTGCCATTTTGTTGCCCTGTCACCCAGTTTTGTGAGATCCCTTTGCAACTCTTCGCAGTCTGCTTGGGACTTAACTATCTTGAGTAGTTTTGTATCATCTGCAAATTTTGCCACCTCACTGTTTACCCCTTTTTCCAGATCACTTATGAATATGTTGAAGAGTACGGGTCCCAGTACAGACCCCTGGGGGACACCACTATTTATCTCTCTCCATTCTGAAAACTGACCATTTATTCCTACCCTTTGTTTCCTGTCTTTTAACCACTTACTGATCCATGAGAGGACCTTCCCTCTTATCCCATGGCAGGTTACTTTGCCTAAGAGCCTTTGGTGAGGGACCTTGTCAAAGGCTTTCTGAAAATCTAAGTACATTATATCCACTGGATCTCCCTTGTCCACATGCTTGTTGACCCCATCAAAGAATTCTAGTAGATTGGTGAGGCATGAGTTCCCTTTACAAAAACCATGTTGACTCTTCCCCCAACAAATCATGTTCATCTATGTGTCTGATAATTCTGTTCTTTACTATAGTTTCAACCAATTTGGCTGGTACTAAAGTGAAGCTTACCGGCCTGTAATTGCCGGAATCGCCTCTGGAGCCCTTTTTAAAAATTGGCATCACATTAGCTATCCTCCAGTCATCTGGTACAGAAGCTGATTTAAATGATAGGTTACATACCACAGTTAGTAGTTCTGCAATTTCACATCTGAGTTCCTTCCGAGCTCTTGGGTGAGCTCATCTGGTCCTGGTGATTTATTACTATTTAATTTATCAATTTGGTCTGAAACCTCATCTAATGATACCCCAATAGGATATCAGGGTTGGAAGGGACCTCAGGAGGTCATCCAGTCCAACCTCCTGCTCAAAGCAGGACCAATCCCCAGACAGATTTTTGCCCCAGATCCCTAAATGGCCCCCTCAAAAACTGAACTCACAACCCTGGGTTTAGCAGGCCCATGCTCAAACCACTGAGCTATCCCAGATTTGTCACCTAAAAATAATGGGTCAAGTTTGGGAATCTCCCTCACATCCTCAGCCGTGAAGACCGATGCAAAAAATTAATTTAGTTTCTCCACAATGGCCTTATCATCCTTGAGTGCTCCTTTAGCATCTCGATCATCCAGTGGCCCCACTGGTTGTTTAGCAGGCTTCCTGCTTCTAATATACTTAATTATTTTGCTGTTACTTTTTGAGTCTTTGGCTAGCTATTCT